TATCCATTTAAATTTACATGGAATATTATCTAAAACTTACCATGACTCTTTTTCATTTAAACTCACCATTTATTATCTAAAACTTTGGGTTCTCTGCAATTGACCTATGAATCCTCAACTTACCCACATTAAGGTCACTCCCCATGTGTCTCCCAATTACTATAGCCCATCCAATGCCCAAATTAATCAAAATTTAAAAAATGCCACATCTTCAACCTCTAGATCCTGCCCTTTCAGCTTTAGTCTTTTCAACTTTCAACCCCATGTCCAACAGCAACCAACAACACTGAATCGATATCCAGCCATTTAAGTGGAACACTTCCATTAATCTCAAATCAAACCACTCTTCAGCAATCTTCATAGCCATAAACAATGGAACCAAATGTATTTCTTGCACTTCTACCAATAATCTTACTGCAACTAAGTTTTTCCAAGCTTTAGTACTAGAATCTATTTTCCTAAATCTTCCACATGCATTTCCTACTGCATGAAACATTTGCATGCACCACGCATGGAGAGGAATCCGAAATACTTGATCCAGAGAAGACTTCTGCCTCCTACTTATACATTTCTTATAACTCCCACAAGAGGATTCCATCTGTCTTATCTTAGTTTAGGCAGACTAACTACTCTATTTAACTCCCGCCAAAGCACTTCATTTGCTTCCTCTTTTCAACTTAACATACCCACTTCAAAACCTCTTCCTCATCTGAATCCACATTAACATATTGACCAACTAAACACGTCTCCAGCAAATTTAATTGATCTGAGATTTTACCCACATAAGTTATGATTCTTGAACTATACTCATTCTATACAATTCATAGCATCACTGCCCATGTATGTCTCAACATGATCTTTTCTACATCAAAGTAAATGGAATGTACTTTTTATCAATGGAAACAAAGTTACAAACATGATAGACCGACATAAATTTTATTAATTGAAATCAAACTTACGAGGGGGACATAAAGACCTTACCTCTCTGAAAATCTATATAATAAGATTTCAACTCATTATCACATCCAAATCAACACCGGAATCAAAAGAAGAAGAAGAAGAAGTATGGGCTCTATTATCACAACCAAAGTTAACAAGGGCATTAGTCAAGTGATTACCTTCCCGATAGGAATGTTGGATAACCAAATCTAGATCCAACCGAATCTCCTCCATTTTAAAGCAGATTATTGAGGGGACTAAACAAAAATTGATTGTTGATAAAGATCATTAGTACTTTTGTTTTTCTAAAATCAAACTCATTGATTGTAGAATTAAATGGATGTTCCAATTTCTAGAGGCTTACTTTAATCCATAGATGAACCTATTAAGTTTGCATTCTATATGTTTCTATGCTTTGTAATGGAGCCTTTTAGTTGATGCACATGGATATTTATATTAAGATCTCCATTAGAATGTAGTTTTGACATCCATTTGTAATAATATAACTATGTGGTTGTTTGAACAACCGTATGACAAACAAATTAGTCAAACAATTGCTTTCGAACTAAATGTTCATTATAAAATGCTTAAAGTGAGTCAAAAGGGATGTGGAATGGTTAGTTGGTAATGATAAAAATATCAACTTCTAGAAAGATAATTGGATAAGATCTGCAACATGATTCCTGCCCAATACTGGTATGGAGATTGGATTCAAAGGGAATTTTCACTATAAAATCGGCTTATAAAGAAGCAATAGTGATGCACAGGGGTGTGGGTGGCCCAAATATGATGCTTAATAAAATTTGGGGGTTCAAGATCCACAAAAAAAATTAAAACATTTGCTTACTTCTAAACTAGGAGTGTTTCCATGCATTGATGGAAGTTGTTTTTGTAATGAAATGGAGGATATGGATCACATATTTAAAAAATTGTTCTTTTTCCAAACAAGTTTGGAATACTATAAACTCTTAACATTACGGGGCCTAGGGAAAATGTTTTGTCGATTTAGGAGTGGTGGTCAAACTTAGACAGTAAGACCATATCGGTTGAACTTTTGGCTCTGGAAAAAGCTTGCTTCATTCTTTGGCAGATTTGAGAAAACAGGAATTGAAAATCTGTTTCACAACCGGTGCCTCCACCTTTCAGCCATCATTGATAGAGCCTTATCCTTTTTTCACTAACTTTATTTCTGGAAGGGCGAGTTCAACAAATCAAAACATTAAAAACAATGTTGAAGCCCATTCTATGGAAGGCACCAAGAGTTGGCACCATTAAAATAAACTTTGATGCTTAGGAGGCCCATAAATGTAAGTGAAGCATGGGCACTTAGGAGGCCCATAACATTGCTCTAAACATCAAAAATCGTCCCATCTGTATTGAATGCGACTCTCTTGGTAATCTCCTGCTTGAAGAACAAAGTTAACATTCCATGGAAGATGGAAAATGAAGACCATTATAGAAGATTGCTCAAAGTTGGTTGACTGCCTAGATTGTAGTGTCACATACGTTGACACTTTCAGGGAAGGAAATCAAGCTACGGATTGGATGGCACATCAAGCTCTTATTTGTTCTCCCAACCATATTAGTTTCTATATTTCATCTCTTCATAGTGTGTTAATGTATATCTGTTGCAGTGATTCCTGGGGCAGAGCTACCCCCACCTTGTGTAGCTCCTCCTGAAGTCTTACAAATTTAATAAAGAATTGGAGCCAAAAAGGGGTGTCTAAAGATGCCCTTGTTTGATAGAGATTGTTTTACAACTAAATGTCAAATCTAAATAGACAGCCCATTTGGACTGAAAAATAGGGTCTACAAAATGAAGATCAATTTTATTATTGGTGGGACAAAAGATAGGTTCTATTAATGAATGTTGGGATTGTCACCTTGGGCAATCCTCGTAAGGATGGCAATTTTTCACATAAAATTATGGGCCCAATCTGCCCAACCTTGAATGGGGTTGGTTTTCCTTGATCATAAATGGGGATGGGGTTTGCATATAAATCCCTAAACCCACCCCAAACCTAGTGGTAGATTACTAAAATGCCTCTATACTTAACATTAATTTCTAAAGTAGCCTTGAGTATATAAGGTGACTTAGGATTCCCATAATCCCATTTCCCCCAAACTCCTAAAACCCTAGGACAAGGATGGGGTTGAATCCCTACCCGACCACTTGGGATATGGTAGGGTAGGGTATAGGATAGGGGATTTTTGCTACAAGACGGGGATGGGGAGGTGCCCACCCCACACTGCCTTGTTACTTCTAAGAAAGGTCAACTTTATTGTTAAGAACACATGAGATAGAAAAACATTGTTGATGGTTATTAGTTATTACCATGTCAAATAACTCTCCTAACAAAAGTTAAATTTATCATCCAAAGTACAAAAGAAAAAGCACTACACTTGGAGAAGGTCAAATTTATTATCATGGGCAACCCTCTTGATGAAGATAAGTGTTAGGCCCCTTTGTTTCGTGGTGAGCTACTTAGGTAGGTAAATGCCTTTACTTAAATAAGTGTTACCTATGAAAATGTTACCTAGGTAAATACATTTACCCATATTCTTTTGCCATGTGGAAAGTGAACAAACTTCCTAAAAGATCATTCTTTTGTTCTGACAGGAACATTTGCCAGTTTCCTCCCTTCGTGGATAAGTAACTTAACCACCTTCCAAATGGGCAAAACTTTTCCAAGAAAGTTGCCAAAAACTTTTCCATGTGAGCCCCAGTACTCAATTAGTAAAAGAACATGAAAAGTTTGGTCTAACTTTTTCATTGACCAACTTCCCTGCCCCCCCTATTGATGATTATTACCATCTCAAAGAGCCCTCCTTATGAATGCTAATTTTATTGTTAATAGTACAAGAATGAGACCATTGATGGCCATTAGTATATTTTTTCCTTGTTGAAGGTTGGCCTTTAGATACAAAAGATACTGCAATGGTCATTGTCACCTAGACATACACCAAAGAGAGATACCGTTGATGGTTATTACCATCCCGAGAAGCCCTCGTGATGAAAGATAATTTTATACTTATGCTGTGTTTGGTTGCAATGTAAATAAATTCGCACTGATGCAAAACTATGACAGTGCAAATGATTTGAGTGTAAATTCTGATCTATTTTTGTTTCAAATTTTAGCTTATTTTGTTTGATAGCAGTACAAATGAAGTAAATTAAGTCATGAATCAGAATAAAGTAAAATCCAAAACAAAATTTAACAAGAATTTGTATTTTTCACATTTGCACTCCCATGCATTTGTACTAGTGCAAATAAATTTGCACTGCAACCAAATACAACCTTTAAGAGTACAAAATGCATCTCTAATGACCGTAACCACCCCAGGAAAACCCCTGCTGAAAGTCCACTTTATCAACATTTGCACAAAAGAAAAGGAGAAACATTGTTGATGATTTTTACCATTTTAAGAAACCCTCCTGACAAATAATGTTAATTTTATTATAGGAGTATAAAAGGTATTATTGATGACCATTGCCACCCTAGGCAACATCCCTGTTAAAGGTCAATTTTATCAATATTGGTAGAGGAAAGAGAAATATCACTGATGGTTATTACCACCATCTTCAGGAACCCTCTTGACGAAGTCTAGTTTTATCATCAAGAGTACAATAGACATTTTTAATGGGCATTGCCATCCCAAAATCTCTATACTAAAGGTTAGTTTTATCAACAGGGGTATAAAAGAAAGAGAGACACCAATTATAGTTATTACCATCCTAGGCAACCCTTTCAAAGAAAGTTACTTTTATCGTTAGGAGTACCAAAAAAAAATGAAAACTCTATACAAGGTTAGTTTTACCAGCAGGGGTACAAAAGAGAGACACCAATTATAGTTACCATCCCAGGCAACCCTCTTAAAGAAGGTTAATTTTATTGTTAGGAGTAAAAAAATAAGTAAGTAAACACTTCATTCTCATGGTGTAAAACCTACTGGTGCCTAGGATGGTAAGAGAAGAACCACTAACAATAAAATTAACCTTCTTTAGTTTGCTTATATCTCCATGACGATAATATCAAATCTCACCTATAGGATTGAGGAGATTAATTCAGCAAATATATCTCCATGATGATAAAATTGTCGTTGAAGCTCCAAGGACATCCATTGACAATAGTCTCATTCAAGTCTTTACTGAAATTGAAAAAGAGAAGAACCACTATGGTAGTCCACCATGCGGGATGGAACAGAGTCTCCAAAAGTTCTCTTTAGCCTGCTTATTTCATTGGTAGACCAGTCAAAACTCCAATGATTAAGCACTTCTTCCAGTGGGAAGAACCCTTCGCATCTTTACTTTATGCCTGTATATTCCTTTGATCATCTGGGTTAAGGGTTACAAACTTCTGGACGATATCTTCTTCACCTTCATCATTTTTTGTTGTTTGAATCCATCAACACCTAGACTGATCAGTGGAGAGATTGACAAATCTCATACAATGGTGAGAGGGATGTAATCAATTGAACTTGGTAGAATTGGATCTATACATAATTCAAAATCTAGTGACTAAAAACAACCTTGTATCCCATAGACAAAGGTGAGTGATGCAGACAAAAGCATTATTCTATACTTCTTTTGAGTCAAAACAACATAGATGCTAGGCTTTGTTTACCATAATATATTTTACAACTATGGAATAACAAAAGCATAGAAAGGCACATTAATACAAAGCTTACAAGTATCATAAAGAGTATTGGAAAGACAATTTTAAGAGACATGTCAGGATGCATTTAAGAAATGGATGGATACGATGGAAGAATTGAGATACACATGCTTAACTCACATAGGCCCCACATAGGACTGTAAATAAATGAGATTGAATCAGATATACTTGTCAATATTTGGATTCAATTATACCTAGATTTAAATTTCATTTGTTAATATTCGGATTCAAATTGAATCCTAGATTTTGATTGGATTGAGATTACAATTGGATACTGAACCTGTGATTCTTTAGTGAAAATACAAAGTTCAAACCAATTTTACTTAGGGGTGCCAGTAGGAATGGGTTAGGTCAGGTTGATGTCAACAGTCAACACTAGCCTACTGCGCAAGCTGCTGAACCCCCAATCCTAACACTAATTAGGTTATACATATACACAATTATACATAGATCAAATTTGAATCACACTTGAGCCAATCAAATTCAAATTAGAATTAAGACAAACATATAACATTTGCAGCCCCAGTCCCTAAAGTACATCAAGATCATCAAATCTAAGCTAGAATGACTATAAATAAGGTATGAAAACAAAAGAAACATGCACATCAATAATTCATGTAAAATATGGACGACTGATAAAAGAATTAAAATATATATATGTATTTTTTAAAAAAAATATAATAAATATCATTAATATATAAAAGATATTAGTTTTAATTTTTATAAAAGGTTTCTTAAAAGATAAAACATAAAACCCATAGATTTTAACAAGTTGCCATTGTATGGTGCAATAGAAAGAACTCGTGCCTTCCATGTGATGGTCTGGGTTCAAACCCCTTTACTAGCATATAATTTTTAATATGAGAAGTTGAAATGAAGTTAGATGATGCCATTCCACCCATGCCACATGCTGGTAACCCAAAACAACCATGTAATCCGCATTGAAGCTTTAAACCTTGGAAAAACAAAGAAAGCACCTTGTTGAAAATAAAAACATCATAAATAGATAACTGAAGATACACATAATAGTATTCATCAAAAAAAAGAAACACATAATAGCCTTTGTTTACATGAAAGAACTGCTGATGGTAACGTAGAAGTGATTATACTACATTTGATTGCATATAAATATAAACGCTTAGTTGTATGCCAAAAGAAAAATGTAAGGCACCTAACCTTCTTTATCTCCATTGTTCCACCAGCTTCAGAAACTTCGACAAAACAATGAATCTTTTACTTCCACAATGTAGAGTGAATTGAATAAAGCTTACCAAATTTGATGAGTGATAGTAAGGTCAATTTCATGGGTAAGCATGAGATTTTTCATTACAAGAAAACTGGAACAGAGGAAGGGAATCCAAAAAAATCTGGCTCACCAAAATTATTTACTTGTAAATCCACTCATTTGCACGGCCTCCAGTCTCATCCATATCAATGAAAATACTAACAGCCTGAGACAATAAAAAACAGCAAACTAATTTTATAAAATACTGATGACATAATCAATGAGGATAAAGAAAACTTATCATTAAAACATGGATTCTCTACATTTGTACATCATCTATTCCTTTGACATATAAAAAAAGCCATTACCCAATGTTGGTCCCAGCTATCTAGGGTCTTGGGAGGGGTAGAGTAGGTATGGACCTAAAGCTTTTTGCATTTTCCGCACAAAGTGTCTGCGCTCAGACTGGAACCTGCATTCTCACGTTTGCCAGCTTGAGAATTTACCATTACACCAAGTAATGGACCCTATCTATTTGTTTTACATATACCTCCCATAAATGTGGATCAAGATGCTCATAAATGGTTATCAAAGACATTATTAGGTTTTCAATTACTATCATCTGTATACTGTTTTTTATAAGCATTTACATTATCATTTGTATAACAATTTAATTGAAATGGATTTATCACTCCACCATTTTATGCCAAGAGTATCACTTGGCTGGAACCTATCAGCATCCCTTAGCTAGTCCACTTTTGTGCATAGGTATGTTTTCTCCACTTCCCAACAAATCTTGAAAGAAAAAGAAGGGACTTCCAGGAAGTTGTCTTAATGGACCAGTTCATAAACATTCATTGTATTTTACTTAACAGATGTTTTATAAATTACATCTATTTTTCTCTTAAAACAAGCACTTACTAGAAAAGGGGGAAATTTTCCCCAAAAAAAAACAAATTTAGGGTGCATTAGGAAAAAGGATCATTAGTACCCATCTTGGGGGCTGAAGGTTGGAAAGAAAAGATAAAGAACCCTAAGGGCCTAAGGTTAACTACAATGATATTTGAGAACTGGAAAACTAGCAACTTGAATCAAAATGATCCTCTCTAGAAAGGAGGGAGCAAACACAAAAGCCTACATAAGTTTGCATCAGATGAACTGTTGAAAAAGGAAATGTGTTCAAAGCAACCATCCAATGACAAAGAGAAGAACGAGTTTTGTTGAATCTAGTTTGCATCTGGTGGGGGTATTGAGTGGAAAATAAGATTAATGAACCCACAAATAGATTGCTTCGTTTAAATGAATTCTATTGACTAATCTTTTTAATGCATTGAGCTGGTTGTTAAATTTCTAATTAAAAACAAAGGGTTTGTTGCTCTGCTCTTAGTTTAAGGCTGTAATTTGTTCAAAATAGTATGCATAGGAGCATTGGGAAGAGCTTGTTTCAACTAGTGAATAAAATTCTACTTCTACACTTTTTTGTTTCTAAGATAACTTTTTGATGTTTTTAAAGAATATCTTGTAGGAAATTCTTACAATAACTACCTTTAAAAATGGTATCTATATTTCACAGAGTATGTGTTGGATTTACTTAGAGATATAGGGAAGGTAGTTGGTAGATGATGGTTTGTGGAAAATAAGGATATCAGAAAGTTCCATGAAAGATTGGAGTTCCTGGAAGCTTGTCTGGTTGGAAAAATAGTTGATCTCAAAGAAAACGTGGACAAGGTAGAAGCATGGGCATCTCTCAAATGGAGTAAGGACAGGTTGATTGGAGTAAGAAGTTTGAAGTTTGAACAAAGGACCACTTCTTCTAATGTTTTGTAATAAAGAAGTGACTGAATTGGTGCTAATGCATGAAATTGAGAAAAATAAGGAGTTTGATGAAATGACAAGTGGTTTCCAGATTCTGGTATGATTCATGGTGGATGAGGAATGAGGGTGGTGTGGATTGGAGTTTGGGGATCCCTCTGCGTGCCTGGAGTCTAGGGGCACTTTTGGAGATCAGGAACAGGTGTGGAAAGTTTCTAACGTATGATGATAGAAATAGAAAAAAGAAAATGGTTGATTTTGCAAGGATTTGGTGGAGGTTATTGAATTGGAAGGCATTCCACCCACTATCAATCTCTCTAATGCAAGAGAGCTTTACGAACTTAGGGTTTTTGTTGAAGGGGAAGATTTTACAACATTTGAGGGAGAGACAATGGCAAGGAGAGAAATCAATGAGAGGCAGAAGCAGCAAGAAATTAGCACACAAGGGTCTGAACCAAAGAATTTGGAGAAGTAGAAAAGTCATTGCTAGAGGTTGAAGATGAGTCAGGTGGTGGCATGGATATTTCGATCAATTTGGAGGGGGTTTAAAGTTGGGACAGGTGGAGATTGGAGAAACTACAAAAAAATGTGTAAGGAGGCGGGGTTGGTTAGTTTAAGTGGGGAAGAAGTTGAGGGTTTTAAGGACTTAACATCGAATAGGGGTTTTGGGCTGTTTTAAAAAGAAAAGGATAAAGTTTTTAAAGTGGATAGCTCAAAGGAAATGGTTAACCGTTTATAAGGGGGAGTGCATTTTCAGAAAAATAAAGAGAAATAATAAGAAAGTGGGATTTAGCTCGAAGAGAGGGGATGACATAAACAGGAGAAAGTTAAACTTGAGGCAAACAGTTAAGGAGAACTGGGTTTGGGTGGTGACAAGATTCGAAAAGCAACAGAAGAAAGAAAAGCAGTAGGAGATCAAAGAGAATGAAGGCATCAAAGAGTTTAATACACAGCAAGGGTTAGAAGAACAAGCAGATGAAAGGGTCAGCAATTTTCATGCTGGTTCTGGAGATGAAAGGGTCAATCAGTGCACTGTAGAAGTTGGAGCCTCGATGGTTATGAAGAAATTCAAAGGATCAAATACTGGACATTTAGTTCACATTACAAATTTTTTTTATTGATTGAAAGATGGCCTGTTGGGTGCAGACCCCTATAATAAATTCAAGAAGGTATATAAGAGAAAGCATGTGAAGCCAAAAATAGAATTTGGAACAATGATGGGTGGTACATTTCTTCTGATAGTTTGCAAGAAAAGGTGGAGAAGATGAAGGTGACGAAGGAAAAAAAGATGACAAAGGAAAAGAGTGAGGATGAGGAAAAGAATTCTAAGGACCAAGAGGACAATGATGAGGTGATTTTAGACGAAGTGAGAAAAAGAAAAGGTTGGATTTGGAAAGAAAGTAGACACAGAAGTTCAAGTAAGCAAATGTTGGGACTCTTTTTTTCTGGAAGGGGGAAGAATTTGCAAGAAAGTATTTTTTGGAGATGGAAAAGAAGAATGGTTCTGGTTGATAGTTCTGGCATAGGGTTGTGATTTAAGGTGCTCATTGGATGAGGAGTGTATGGGTCAGGGGTGATGGTGAGAGTTGGGTTTCTTGTGTGGGTATGTGGTTTTCAGTTGTGTGGTGTTCTGATTTTGAAGGTCTAGTCTGGAATGAATTTTTTGTCCAAAGGTTTTATAGGATGGAGGATGGATTTGGGGATGATATTTATTTATTTGTGTGTGATATCTTTCACCTTTCTTGTACTCTTAAATATTCCTTTTTATTTACACCAAAAAAAGTTGGGCTTTGTCATTCACTTGGGCTGTTCTCTCTTATTTTTGTTCCAAGCAGTTTTATTGTCTGGATCATATGCTACATTGACCAATGGAAGTTGAAATATAGATTTTCCCTTCTATCAAGACCAAATGATAAGGATATGCATTTTTTTCAAAGTATAGATATATGGATGGTTATCATAGTGTATATGGAAAAATCAGAGCAACATTCTACCTTTCCTATTCGGGGCCGCTCCTTTGACTTTGCCAGGCTATTCCTTATATGTGAGACAGCTCCCCAACATTTCAGTGTGTTTGCAATATCATCAAGCCTCAGTAGATACTCTTCCTCAGTCAGTGGAAAGGATCTCTAAGAGGAGGTGTCCAATCAAGAAACATTGTCATGAAACTATTCTGGAAGTTTAAAATGTATGACTACATATGCATAAATTAATCTAAGTGCTGGTAGTTTCAGTCAAACCTTTTCATCAGTAATAGGCAATTACTTAACTTGTCAAAAAGCATGAGTAAACATTAGGGGCCCAGAATTATGAGATATGAAAAATTACAACAGATGCATGTCAATAATCAAAGTTGCATGAATCCAACAATTTAAACTGTTGCATGATGGGGAAAAGGTGAGAAGACATAGGGGTGCAAGTCGGATGGGCTGGGCCAGGTTTAAGCTTAACCAGGCCCAACCCTAAGAATTGGGCCTAAGGCCTAAGCCTGACCTGTGTAGAGACAGTGAGATCTAGCTGCAGGACTATTTTTGTACTTTTACTTTTCTTTGTTGTATAACTATTCTTTGTACTCTCTTTCTTTTGTACACTAAGGGCAGATTTGTCCTTTTACCTTTTTATTATAAATATATCTTTTAGGGTGTCGACTGACACAAGGGGTCACACCCACCAAATCTGTTGTCTCTTTCTTTCTCTCTTTCTGAACTCTCGACTTGACTCTGACATGGTATCAGAGCAGGTTACGACCTGATCTTCACATAACATCTCGTTGAACATCTCGGCTACTACTGGTTCAAGAACTCTCTAACAGTATTTGAGAAGTTCTTGAGTGTCTTTTAATCTTCTTCCTAGATGGGCTACAGATCTGTTACCTGGACTGTTGCGCCATCGGATTCACCTTTCTTCTTAGATCTCCTTGTAGAGACATTGGATCAGCCTGAAATTTTAGATCTAGTGTTGCCCAGAGAAGATCTACTGAACCCCTTTAGTTTGGTTTGGATCGGTTTTGTTTTTGAGGGGTTTTGATCCACTCTTCAGTTCGGCAGAACTATACAGTTGTCTTTTTTGGACATCAGCTGAAAGGTATTCTCCCTTTCTTTCTCTGGTTTGAATCTTGGTTTTTGGAAGTGTGTGTTGTTGCCTTTTGTCTTCCAATGGCAAAAAAAGGATGGAGGTTCTTCCTATTAAGTTCAATGGTACGAACTACGCATTATGGAAGTTCAACTTTCAGTTCCATGTCGAAGCTAAGGGTCTTTGGGATATCTAGATGGATCTGTATCTAAACCTGATGACTCTGACATTAAGGGACTTAATCAGTGGAAGATCGACAACACAAAAATTGCGTCATGGATTCTAGGTTCAGTCGAAACTGATATTGCTATGCCTATGAGAGGGTACAAGACAGCCCATGAGATGTATCAGTATCTCGAGAAAGTTTATCAGCAATCGAACACTTCTAGACAGTATCAGATAGAGATTGACATCTTCTCATACTATCAGGGAGACAGAAAAGTCCAAGAATATTATGCCAGATTCATCAACCTTTGGATAGAATATGAGTTAGTTCACATGGGAAATGATCCTTTAGACTATTGTGTGAAGTACATGAAGGAACACTTTGACAGGAGGAAAATTATGCATTTCCTAATGCATCTAAGGCCTGAGTTTGAAATTGTCCGATCTAATATCCTAAGACGAGGAACACTTCCTAACTTAGATACTATCCTTGGAGAGATTTTGAGAGCGGAAACCAAATTGACTACACAGACTGCATTGGATGGAAGGAAAGATTCCAACATTGATGTCGTCTTCCTGGCAACTAAACCAAAAGGGAAGAAGGATTTTTCTAAGATACAGTGTTATGAATGTAAGGAGTATGGGCACGTTGTCTCCCATTGTAAGAAGAAGAACACATGCACCTATTGCAAGAAGGTCGGCCACATTATCACTGAATATCCTACCTGGCCTTAGAAAAGGTAGTGGATCAAATCAGAAGAAAGGCATATCAAACTATTATAGATGGTTCAGATGCCTCCTCCTCTATTACTTCTGTAGTTGGTCAAAATGACACCTCTAGCAGCATGTCTGAAGAATGGATTCAACAGCTCATGTCCTCGGTCATCTCTTCAGCCTTCTCTACTATTGGTCTGTCTGGTAAGTCATCGACCTATTGCCCTTTACCGAACCACCTCTAGTATATTGACTCAGGAGCCTCTAACCATATGACAAAGGCCACTCTCGGTCAGTATCCCAAACCCCATCTTCCCAATAGACATATTATCACTACAAACGGTGAAAAACTAGACATACTTGGTTGTGATGATTTGTATTTATCTACTTCTAAATCATCACTGTTTCATTTATCCAAAATTTTATTTGTACCTAAGCTTACCACCAATTTGATTTCTGTTAGCCAACTTGTAGAGGAAGGTAGCAATGTCTCATTCACTTCCGATGGTTGTTTGATACAGGACCGGCAAACTAGGGAGGGGAAGGGGAAGGGGCGTAAACTGGGAAGACAATTTGCTTTAGAATTTGAGAAGAATAAGACTGCTCCTGCTTCTACTTCGTGGTTGCTTTCTACTACTTCTAGCTCTGGATCTTTTAACTATAATAATGATTGGCATTTGTGGCATAAACGCCTTGGCCATCCATTTTCTAAGAAACTTGATCAATTATTTGCTTCTAGTAGTTTACCTGTTTCTACTGTTTCCTTTAAGAATGTGAATAAAGATTGCATCACTTGTGGTTTATGTAAGAGTCATATTTTACCTTTTCCTTCTCATTTCGAGCATGCAACAATTACTTTTTATTTAATACATAATGATGTCTAGTCGTCTCCAATTGTCTCACGGCAGGGATATGAGTACTTTGTAACCTTTATTGATGACTGCACTCGTTTCACTTGGGCTTATTTTCTTTGAAAGAAATCTGAAGTGTACACTTTATTTAAACATTTTCACACCTATGTTACTACCCAATTGATGCTCGAATCAGTGTGCTACAATCAGATTCAGGGGGAGAGTATATTGATGGGAATTTCCAAAATTATTTAAAACAAAATGGAATTTAACCCCAAAAATCCTATCCAGGCACCCCACAACAAAACGGGGTAGCAGAAAGGAAGAATGGGCATATCTTGAGTGTAGTCAGAACTCTTCTACAGGATTCCCATGTACCCTCTTGGTTTTGGGTGGAGGCGGCCAGCACTGCTATGTATCTCATAAATCGTCTTCCATCATCTGTTTTGAATAACTCTTCTCCTTTTCAATCTCTCTTTCAAAAACCTCCAAACCTATCCATGCTCAAGGTCTTTGGTTGTGCTTGTTTTGTCCATCTTCCACCTCATGAACGCACAAAGTTAACTACACAAGCAGCTTTGTGTGCCTTTATGGGGTATAATTTAAAACATAAAGGGTTCCTTTGCTATGATCCTTCAGTTCGTCGTCTTAGAATCTCTCTTGAAAGTGTCCTTTTTTGAACATATTGTAAAATTCTTAGCTCCTTCTATTTCCTTGTTGCACAATTTTGATTCTACAGGTACCTCAAATATTCCATTGTCACCTCTGCAACAACTTCAGACCTACTTCAGGAAGCAACGACCTTCTTCAGTCTCCATCCCCCCCCCCTTTGCTTCGCCTCCAATTGCTGATCCAGTCACTCCAGCTACCTCAGTAAGTGTACCAGACCTTCCTCCTGAACCCAATGCTCCCACTTTACGCCATTCCTCTAGAATTTCTTACCCACCTAACCGTTATGGTTTTTCACAAGACATAGCTCATTTTTCGTTGTTTTATCTACCACAAACATTCCCAGATCTTCCTAGCAGACTATAGCAGAACCACACTAGAAAGATGCCATGGACTTTGAGATTCGAGCCCTTCTTGAGAATGACACCTGGGACCCGGTCAAAGCTCCACCTGAGACATCTCTTATAGGAAGTCAATGGGTCTACTCTGTGAAACTAAATCTGATGGAAGCCTAGGTAGATACAAAGATAGACTGGTAGGCAAAACTAGAAAGTTACACATAACCCCTAGACTCGATTATGGTACTGCACTGGGTGTCGGATTGGGCTGCCTTTGATATGTCAATCAGTGAGATCCTTTGGGGTCAAAACCTGGGTATGCTAGGGCAGTCTAAGAATTCACTCGAGTGGGTATTCATAGTGATAGGATCAGCCCCTTTGTCAGACAAAGTGAATGATCGGGACTGCACTCTCTCTGATGGAAACCAAAACTTCCGGCAGTCAATTTCAAACTTGTTTAAGACTTGTTTTGCAAAATATATTTATATGATAATATATATATATATATATATATATATATATATATTATGTTTTAAGAAAAATGTTTGCAAAAGGTTTTAATTCTCGGGACCCATCCAAGCAGAGAGTGTGACACTGCACCTTGCAGCCAGGGGAGAGGTCCTTCCCTGCTGGGCAGTGTTGGATTATTATGGGCTGAGAGGTTAAGTGTAAGAAACCATTTAAGGATATTTACCTGATGGGCTATATCTTACTTAAGTTCATTGTCCTTGGGCCTTCATAGGATGGCTGGACTCAAAGATCATTCAATGTAAATGTTGGGCCCATTAAGAGCCCATACTGATGGACTCAGGGGTTCACTATACTTGATAGTGAATTCGGCCAGGCCTTTTCACAGAGACTGGCTGAACCCATGTGGGCTTATGTAAGGTCATTGTTGGGGTCCCACGCCATACAAAGTGAACCAAATGGGCCAACAACTACGTAAGGACGCGAGCCACTTGCTTAGTGGGCCTAAAGCCCATGATTAATAAGATTAATCAAGATGTCACATGACTACTTAAGCTGTCATATGACATGGGGTGAATCTGGGTATGGAGCACCTAATCTTATAAGAAGATAAGGTCTATCTCTAAAGAGAGTCCAGATCTGATTTAGATCTAGATTATCTCGTAATTAGATTAGGAGATAACTCCATAAGAGGTTATAAAAGAGGAGGGGGCGGACCAGTCCAAGACAGTTTCATATTTTTGCAGTTTCTGGTCCTCTTTGCACCCTTTTGTCTCCCAGTTTTCTCCCACTTCGACTACAACTTTGGGACTGATAAAGATCAATTCTTTCTCTGAGTTTTGCAAGAAAAAT